GAAATTGCAGTGCAACTTCTTACCATTAGGCCACCAGTGTTGTAGATAAAAGCCCATAGGAACCTTAAACAAGAGCCCTGGTACATAGCAGGTTGAATAATGGGCTACATACAGAGAAATTGTCAGTTTGAACCCATAAGCTGCTCTAAGGGAGAAAGATGTAGATGTCTTCTCTCATTAAAATTTACAGAAATCTGATGCGGACTGTTTAGGTATTTGTATAGACTCCACAATAGTGGACTTTAGGAATCTTAATGAGAGGAATGGCTTTGCTTCTAAATGAGTTCCAATCAAACCCAATCAGCTCAACATCAACAATACAAAAGAACTCTGGCTCCAAATACTATTTTATATCTTTCAAACAATTCTTTCAACTTCTCTACTCTGCTGCCCATAATTCTATTAGAAGGAACCATCATCTTGGAAATTCATTGACCATATACTTTAAAAAGTAGATCAAGTTAAACAAAAAGTGCTGTTTTATGCCTACCAGCATAAATCTATGACTTTTAATGGTCTAAGCTACATGTGGCTTTCTATATAACAAGATTTCAGCATTCACATATTCTTTAGCTTAGAGTTTAGTAGAGTTTAGCTTAGTAGTAGTTTAATGGTGCAGATAAACAGAAAAGTGCAAGCTTCTTTACTTGCTGTATTAGGATAGTTTTAAAAGGATAGAATTAAATCAAATACATTGAACATAAGCACAGAATCCATGTAACTTGCCAGAGGTTGTGCTCAGTGCTTTGGATAAAAATACGAATGTCTCGCTGTCCTATGCTATTGCAAAGTTCACAATCATGTACTTTAAATGTGTGATTTTAAGGGCTTCTAGAAGACTTTAATTTGAGGTGTTCATTTGGTTCCAGTCTAAAACTGCAATTTAGATTCTATCAGCACATAAAGCCCTTTTTACTCGTAACGTAACACGTGGTTATTTTTACTTCATTATATATGTACCTGGCTAAGGAGTTTTCAAGCAATTATAATTTTCAACCTAATCTCTCCTCTCTTATATTTTCTTCATATATAAGTATCCTTCAGTGTTGCTTCAAAGGTCTCCAATAAAATGAAATGTGATGTTGTGTTTGTCAAGCAAGTGTTCTGACACACAAGGACATTTTATAAGTGAATGGTGCCAAGAGATAAATGAAATACAGCACTTCTCACCATTTCATTCTCATTTAGCAAATATTTAGGAATGAAACATGATGCCAACCTCTTGCTCTGTATGGTTTATATCTGCTGGAGATTCATCTTTCTTCATTTTCTTTTTACATCATACAAACAATACACTGTTTTGTAAAACAATAAACAATAGTAGGGTAATTAGCCCATGTAACAAAATATCTACTCCCTCTCCCCTTAGAAAAGCTTTGTTTGCTGAAGTGGTAAGAGTCAAATGCGCTTAGCATGAGTCATGTGTATTTTCTGTAAGATTTTAAGGGAAAGGGGAGTTAGAGATTAAAAATGTCAGGTCAGATGATTCCCCAGGAGGTGCAGCGAGGCCCTGGAGTAGTTTATACGTGTCTGGGCGGTCAGTGGTTTTGGGCAAGCCTGACTCAGGAGACCAATGCCCAGGAGACTCCTTATGAAGAGCACTCTCTGATCTAAGTGCTCAGGCTGGCCAGGCTACTGGCTTCCGTTTCCATGGAAGTAAAGATCATGATTATTAAAGGAACCAAAGTCCACTCTGACGCCCTACGACTCTACGAAGGTGGAAATCAAGGGGAGAAATGAAAACATAACAACAAAAGTGAATAATAAAGAGTTGGAAAACTAGATATTTAGGAGGAAAAAGCCAAGTGAAGGTGGCTGAGAGATGGAAGGTGTGATCTGTATTTAAAAGGCTACGATAGGAAGAATGTGTGCTCTGTGTGTTGTTATTATCAGGTCCCATGAGTTAATTCCTACTCATTGTAATCTAACGTGACAGAGTAGAAACTACCTATGTAGTTTTCTTGGTTGTAATCTTTACAGAATTATATCACTAGATCTTCACCAAAGTATCTCACCAGTTCTGTCTTCTTTGAAGTTACTTGAGTGGGTTCAAACCACTAATCTTTCAATTAGCTGCCAACTACTTCACTGCACCACCAAGACTCCCTTTTTTGTATCTTTTAGTAACTTCTAATTGCTCTTAGAAAAAATATTCAAACCTTTTACTTTAGTTTGCTAAGGCCCATGTATGTCTTCTATCCACCTCACTAAACCTAAGTCCTTCTACTTTCCATTTTCTATCACGCTTCTTAATGATGACCAACCATCTCAATCCAGAATGCAGGATTTTCATATTAAAAAGGAGAAATGATCTCAGACAGTCTGGTAAAGGTGGTTACTCTTTCTTCTAGCCACTGATAATTTTTGCTCCTCTCCTCCTTCTTTTGAGAAAGACCAGTTTTCATTATTGTCATACTCTTGTCAAAAATTAAGGGCGCTCCGGTGACCTAATGTGTAGGGAATTATCCACAGAAGTGGTGCCTCGCTGACAGTCCGATTCCATGGGAGGAAGATGGGTGACCTCTTTGCATGCAATTTGTAGCTTTGAAAACCCCCTGCAGGATCAGCTATGAGTCAGTTCTGACTGCTGGGCAGCAAATTACCTTGACTTGTGGCTAGTCAATAAATCAGTTGATCCTAGATATATGAGTTTATGAACTCTTCATTTTATTCCCTATTCTATCCTTCTACCCTTTTCCCAGTACTGTGTTCTCTTAGTTACTGTGGATTTATAGTATGATTTGAAATCAAGAAGCATGACTTCTCTAATCTTGTCCTTTTTTCAGTATTGTTTTAACTGTTCTGGTTTCCCTGCATTGAATCCAGTGAATGGGATCCTTGAACCAAATTTGAAACCCATGTTACATATAAGAGTTTAGGAATATTTTCCCCCTTCCATTTTCCTTCTAAATAATAATAGTCTTTACAAAAGCTTCTGGAAAATAAAAAAGCAACATGGTCTTAATGATGAAATCTTAAGTACTTTCTCTTCTTGCCGTAACATGGTTTGTCATTCCAGGAAGTTTTGTAATAGTGTTATAAGCTATAATACTATAGCTTATAACAATACTTATAATTCCTGGTAAACCCATTATTTAGTGTAGTATGTCTTTGGATTCAACAGTATCTGAACCACCCTGATTCTGAGCTAAATGTGTGGTTGGTGAATGTATGTGCCCTAGCACAGTTATGAGGTATTTTGCTGACTAATTGGTTTCATAGCTAACAGATATGTTAACGCCAAGTTTCTATTGTTTCATAAATAAATCAAGCAAAAATTAATTTTGCCTTCCAAAACATCGTTAAAGCTCTATAAAAATATCTTTGATACTTTTATAAAAGTAGTTAGTAGAGTTTTGTTATGGTCTCGTTATAGCAGGTATGAAAATTTCAACAAACTAAAATTCAATAATGTTTAAAAACTCATTGGTTTTGCAACAGTGAATGAATGGAAATCCAAAGTCTCTAAATTTTCATTGAAATTAATAATAAATTAAAAAAAACTCATTTGTTTTAATTGATTGATAATCTAAGTGTCAACCCTGAAGATGTCAAAACTGAACAATGGTTTAAATTAGAAAGACCCGTACCAGAGTCTCCATGCAGAAGACCCAGGTTCAAGCTATGGCCACCACATAGTTTTTGTCTAACAGAAATAAAGTGAATTAAGTAAAAGGGAAAAAAATGGTAGTATAATCTTGCCATCTCCTCATCAACTTTTGAAGACCATCAAGGAGACAATTAGTCTTCACTCCCTGGTTGAAGATATCATCTTTCACATTTTGCATGATAGAAACCTGGTCTCAGGAAATACTTAGTGACCTACCAATATGCAGATATGTTTGTCACATGATAAGGCTATCGAGATAATGATTTTTATGTAAAAAGAAAGAAAAACACAGAAAAACAAAATATCCTCTTCTATCCAATATTGTTGTTGATTATCATGGAGTCAAGCATGACTCATAGAGACCCGATGAACAAAAGTTTGCCGGAAGCCTTTCATAACTATCGTAATTTATCAAAGTTAATACAATTTCCAGAGGCATGTTGTTTAGGAAGTGGATGCCGCCCACTCCTTCCAAATTCAATATTAAACCATGGTAAAGTTTAGCTTCATACTATTTTTTTTAATTAGGTTCTATATCATTGATGTAATGATGACATCACATTTTCAATCTTCAAGAAACATGCTGGCATATTCTCTCAGATTTAACCCTTTCTATTTAATCATGCCAAACATACGAAGATACAATGAAAGGAAATATCTCCATTGGATTCTTGTACCTGTTATTTTATCATCTGGTAGTTAATTGTTAAAACCCAGTAATATCTCTCAGTTAGAACCTACCACACAGTGTGTTGGAGTCATATCTGAAAGATTCTTTTTTTGTCTCAGAAAATTGTTCTCATATTTCCTTCTATTCACTGGAGAGACAAATGTTGCTTATCTAGTTATGATAATCTTTAAAGTATCAATTTCTTACCTTCTTAATTCACCCAGTTTTTAAAAAACAAAACACTTGAAGAATGTCATATAGAGCTGCTGACTAACCACAAAATGTTGTAAGAATTTTAATTATAAATGATTTCACATAAAGGATAATACATATGATTGTTATTTCTGAATTAGAATACCTTATTAGTAAGGATTAAAGAGGTATTAGTTCAGCTAAACCTATTCAACTGGAACATTAATTACTTTTCTGGTTGATTTTGAATTTATGTTGAAATCAAAATGTCAGAGCTGCAGGGCCTCTTATTCATCATCCAGCTTCTATTTTTCTGGAAAAGAAACTATGTTTTGATGAACTGAAGTCACTTGATTGGTCTTGATCTCCTACTTACAAGCAGAAATGTGATTAGAACTGGAGTCTCCTGGGTCCATTTAAAATTTAAATGTGTCTGGTTGGTTACTTCTAACCACTCTTGTTTAATCTTGGCATGATGATTTTGAAATGTTGTAATATGTTTTTGTTTTGTTTTATTTTTCTGGTCAGCTGTTCTGCAAGCAACAAGGGCCTTAATGGTGATTGGCATCCTGTTGGGACTGGTAGCAATCTTTGTGGCCGTCATGGGCATGAAGTGCATGAAGTGCATGGAAGATGATGAAACACAGAAGCTGAGGATGGCTGTCATCGGGGGGGCATTGTTTTTATTTGCAGGTAAGATATCACCTGTTCATCTTTCATTTTATTATTTGGTGCTGGAATGATAAAGCTCAGTTTCCTTAGACAGTTTTGAATTTTGACACTTGAATTTGCTTATTTAAGACTCTCTACCATCCGAAGACACAAATCTTAATTCAAGCTGATTTTCAGAGAGATGCTAATGAAACTTTGAGATTTGTGTTCACTATAGGTAGGTCAATTCACTGAGCTTTCAGATGTCACACTGTTTGTTATAACCAGTCTCACTAAGTAGAGTTGACTGTAACTAGCAAACACTAATACATGAGTCTATGTAATTTAGAATTTAGGATCAATTTTGGAAGTACATGTGATGAAAAGAACATGTGGTATACTAAAAATAAATACAAAGAGCATATGAATCACACAGTTCCTTGAGGAAAGTATAAATTAATATACTTTTTTAGTTTATTGGAGAAAAATTGGGACAAAATTCTACGTTAAGAGAACTGATAGGTCAAAAAAATATCAGTGGTGTATGGGACTTATAGGGAGTTAAATCCAGTGATTTAGAAAAGAAAGTACAGAATGGCCCTGACAAAAGAATGAGGGGTTATTCATCATACAAAATATGAATTTGTTGCTTTATTAAAATGTTTAATAATGAGACTGCATGGTTAATTAAGGCTTATTCTAAATAGAATACCCTATAAAATAGTCTATTTTTTAGTGACAGTAGTGATATAAATTCTACTACTAGAAAAAAACTAGTGTTAAACTTTCCTTATTATTTCTTTGACAAAACATCATACAAGAGATGATAGCAAAATACTTGGACTTATCATGAGGAAAGAGTCTCTGTGGCTTTACTAAAGACGTGGCTAAAGTGTAACCATCTCTTAATTTAGCCAAACATAAACTAATGCCTTCAAGTGTGGTGCTGGAGAAGAGTCTTGAACGCATATCATGGGCTGCCAAGAAAACAAATAGGTCTGTTCTGAAAAGGGTGAAACCAAGTCTCTCCTTGTAGGCTAGGGATGTGGCCAGGAGAGATCAGTCCTTACAGAAGGACATCATGCTCAGAAGGGTGGACAGACAGTGCAGGAGAGGGAGACCCTGGATGAGATGGATTGATACAGTAATTAGGGCGATGGGGGTTGGTGTGTCAGAATTAGTGAGACTGTCTCAGGACAGGGAAGGGTCCAGAGCTGTTGCACATAGGGTCACTATACATCACAGGTGACTCGATGGCACATAACAACAATAACATACTATAACAGGTTTGGAAGCAAGAGTGGCATCCACTTCCTAAACAACATGCCTCCGGAAACTCTATGAGCTTTGATAAATGTCAATAGTTGTAAAGGGGCTTCGGGCCTTTTGTTCATGGGATCACTATGAGTTGTGCTTGACTCTAAGACAATCAACAACAGCAAATTAATGCCTGCCAGAAAAGACGCAGATGGTGCTTTATTTCCAAAAGGTTTCTTTGCTATCAAAGCTATGAAAAATTTTACTATAAAGTCTCATCCTTTGATTGTCTTCTTTTGTCTCTCATTATTGGTTGTTTCCCACTTGTTTCCATTTCCGGACTTCCTAAAGAACAAGGTCTGCAGGTCCAAGACCATTCTTGTGGTCCATATAATCATATATACAAAGCTTTGTCTCCCCTCCCCCTGTAAAATATTACAGGCAATTAGTTTAAACTACTCTTCAACTTTTAAACAGTTAAGGAGTAAAACATGAAGCAAAACCAATAATCTGCCTATATTGATGCATTTATAGTAGTCATTAGAGAAAGTTTATTTTATATCCTTGAAAAAAATACCTAATTATTTTGTATTTTAAGAAATAATAGAATGGTTTACTTGGACTAAGTTTTTCTCTGGTGTTATTAAAATACAAAACAAGTTGAGTTAGGCATTGTGCTGAGTACATTTCTCTTGCGATGTCTCCACCAACTCTTAAGATGGTATTTGCAGTATGTGTTGGTGGAACAATGTAAATTTGCAGGTCTGATCCATTTTGAGATAGGTCTGTTTTGACTCCACAGAAATGTAAATTTTTTTTTAGCTTCAAGAAGAGTATGAAAGGATTTTATCCTCTCTTTTTCCAGTAATAGTATATCATTATGGATAAGGGTATTAACTTTATAAAAAGTGTGCACTATGGACACTAATTAATGACAAAATATTCGAAGGGAATTTTGAATGTTATTCATCTGCTGAAGATGGAGAAGAAAAAAAAAAACCCATCCAAACAGCCTAACAAAACATTGTGCCATTTATGCCAAAGTGGCCTTGAATACTTAAGTGGTGACCAACATGACATAAGGGAGTTAGACTCTACCTACCTCGGTTCTAGTATTTTTGTCTCTTTTATGAGAAAACTAGATAAATCACATCTGAACCACTCTTGCATGTAATACTAAAATAAAATCCTAGCACTATTGATGGTATTTCATTCTTACAAACTTACTTTCAGGTTTAGCGGACTGTATATTTATGTTCAGTGTAATTAACAATCTTTTCTTTTGAATTTCTGTAGGTATGGCAATTTTAGTTGCCACAGCATGGTATGGCAATAGAATTGTTCAAACATTCTATGACCCAATGACCCCAGTTAATAACAGGTAATGCTATTCATGCATGACATTGTTTATTCTTTGAGAATTTTTTTTTTATATCCTGGAAATTCCAGCTAGTGCTGTTGCTTGTCCTAGATTTGTTCTCAGGAATTATGTGTCATTTTATGTCAAACTTGCAAACAATTTGAATTACTTATGACTCATGTTAAAATGAGGTTCATAATTGCTTTAACAGCCTATATTAATAGCAAAATACTTCAAAGTAGAAAGTTCCAAGCACTGTACTTTCCAAATCTATGCTGAGCCTTTATTTCTTTCTAATATAATAAAGATGTTAGTATATTTGAACATTCCTCTTTGAAGTATATATTGTCTGATACCAAACTATAGTTATTTATAATTAATAAACATTTTACAATTAATTGGGGGGAAACTACTATAGGGATTAGCAAATAATATTTCATATTTAATATGGTGACATGTGGAAGTTAAAGGCTTGATTGTTGACTAGCACATAACCAGCCTCTTTGATCAGTAGAAGAAAACTCTTCATCTCCTGTCTTCACATCTTTAAAGACTAATAACCACATTTAGAGTCAGAACTGTAAGATGTAATTATTGCTTGTTAAGTGTTAGGACAAATGGATGAAAAATCCCAGTGCTTGGAGAGATAAGGTGTGTTTCTTTTTATATTAACATCCATATTCAGGAGAGCACAAATTGACATGATTATGTTGGAGCCCATCCCATAAGACATATAACCTGAGGACAGAAACTGCTGGAGGCCAAGGAGATAAAATTTTACTAGAGTATAATAATAGCAGTAAGGCATGTGAAAGCACTTTATAAATTGCTAGCCATATACAATTGTTATTTATATTATCTCATGGGATCCTGAAAGCTGTCCATTGAGGCAAATGGAATTACCCTGCTTTAGCAGAAGAGCAGACTGATACTAAGAAGTGGCAAACAGTAATAATACCAGTTGAATTTGCATTAGATTCTAGGCTTTATGCTTTCGATTTGGCCACCCTCCACCCTTGTCCTCAATCATTCTTGGTTACTTCACTCTCAACAGTGTAGGTTAGTTCATGTATTTATTCATCAATATCCTATTAATTCCATGCAATCCACAGACTTCTGAGAAATGATTTACAAACCAGGAATTGGGAATTTCAATTTATGTGGTTACCTAGGATCAACTATTAAAAACTCTTAACAGCCTCCTTCAAATTTGTGACAATTTTTAATGTAATGTGGTGCTACTTAGTAGCAGTATTGTTGTTGTTGTTGTTGTGCTATTGAGTTGGAAGCGACCCGTAGCTAACCTTCCAGTGGGTTTTCAGAGGCAATTTAATCACAGAGGAGGAGATTGCCCATACTTCTCCCATGGAGTAGCTGGTGGATTTGAACTGCCTGCCTTTGGGGTTGCAGCACAACTTTTTTAAATACTAGGCCACTAGAATTCCTTCAGTGACATGCTAAGTTTTAGACTAGGAATCACGGTCCAAATTTGTTTTCTAAAATGCATAAATTTACATTACGTGCCTCGTACACTTACAAAGTCTTTGGAAATGTTTGCTTAATTAAACTGGTACTACAAGTCTAATTGTCAACAATTGTGTGTAAACATACTTATGTATGTGTGTTAAAGTACAGAAAGTTCTTCCCCAAGGGATGATGGGGGATTATTTTCAAAAGAAATAAACGCAGGTGTGAAGTTTTCTTTCTTATGTATCTTAGAAGAGCTCCCAGAATCATCCCCTAAGTACATGAACTGTCCTGTCTTTTCAGGTATGAGTTTGGTCAGGCTCTCTTCACTGGCTGGGCTGCAGCTTCTCTCTGCCTTCTGGGAGGTGGCCTGCTCTGCTGTTCCTGTCCCCGAAAATCAACCTCTTACCCAACACCACGTCCCTATCCGAAACCAACACCTTCCAGTGGAAAAGACTACGTGTGACACAAGCGAAAGGAGACAATCTGTTGAAACCAACAGCAAATGGACATTGAAATATGATTGGCAACCTGAAAGCCTTACTTAGACTTATTATTGTCTGGACATTGGTATTCCAAAAACAAAAGAATCCAAAAAAATTATTTTTAAAAAAATATTCACTGATGAAGGTGGTTAGTTTTATTGTATGTCCTTGCCTTGATATTGTAAGGACATCCTGTACAGGTTACTGCTTCCCATTGAGGAGACTCAAATGTGGAGACGGGATGCTCCTTAAATATATATAAATATGTGTATATATACATGTTTTTCTAGGAAGAAACTAGATTCTAACTAACTCTTACTCTTATGTTTGTACAAGCACACTTAAAATATCACCAAAAAGAAAAAAGTAATTAGTATATATATTTAATTCCATACTGATTAAATAAGCAGTTGATTTTAAAAAAATTTTTCTTCATATATACATATATAATCTAATGGGTCAAAGATAATTTTCCCTTCCCTATCAGCTTTTAATGCCTTTGACCTAAGACCTAATTCACACTGATTGTTGTTGTTGTTGTGTACCCTTGAGTTGGAACCAACTCACAGCTGACCCTCCAGGCAGTTGGTGGATTCGAAACTTGAACCTTTGCATTGGTAGCACAATTCCTTACCACTATGCCACCAGAGCTCCCAATCTATTAAATGTAAATTCTTTACCTTTTGCATATGTGTACTCCACCTTTTTTTTTTAACCATGAACTTGTAGCATTTGCTTTTCCATTAGTAGATCATTCTCCAGACCCTTATTTGATTTTTATTAGGTTGGCCTCTAATACCAAATTCTAAGACCATATTTCCAGAAACATCTATTTTCATTCCTAAAATAAAAAAGAGCATCATAGAAATAAGAGTTTTGGGGACACATCTTTTTGCATGACCAGAACAATATACTTCTGTTGACTTTCACACACAGTCCCTGTACTCTGACCTAGAACACTTGCTTGTTTTGAAAATACTTTTCCCCTTGTGTAACCTTGCACAAACTGCTTTCCCAAGTGTTGTAACAGTTTCATTGATTTGAATTCTTAAACCACTTATTTGCAGTTGTGTATTCCCCTAAACTACCTGGTTCGTTCTCTTCCCTCACCTGCACTGATCTCCCTCTATGCAATTATCAAATAGTTGACCTCTTCTTGCAGAGAGGTGTGGTCTGTTTGCCTGAACAAAATGGTAGACTTTGGGGAATGATAAAGTGATGACAAATATTCTCTCTGTAGCTGTAAACAAGTCATTTAATCTGCTACCTCTTTGCCCATCTGCCAAATGGAGATAATAATACTTAACCAGCTGGTAGAGGTGATGTGAGTATTAATTACTTGATATTACTCTCATTCTTTGAACATGAAATATGCCTAATTAGATTTTATTTGCTCAATTGCCTGTTTAAAAGTCAATGAACAAAACCTGTACAAATGTCTTCACAACATTCAACAGCTTCTTTTTTTCAAGAGTTTGTTTTCTTCTCTTCTTTTTTTTTCTTCTTCCCCCCCCCCACCTCTGTCTATTATGTTGCTGGTAGCCTGCTCAATTTTTGTAATTGTTCTTAATTTGCATGACAGGAAAAAACATCCCGGATTTCACTTAAGCTAGAGGAGGACATCAAGGAAAGGATCTTGGCTTTTGTGTCCAAAGACCTGCGTTTCAATTTTGGTGCTATCAGTGACTATTTGATTCTGGGCAAGGCCTTTGACTGCCATAGATCTATTTCTTCATCTATAGAAAAAGTAAGGGCTGATGACTTTTTCCCTGCCTACCTCACAGGATTGTGGTGAGGATCCAAAGAAATAAGATACATTAGATACGGTTTTGTTAAATGGAAAGTATTATGCTATGTAAGCGTTGAAGAATTCAGATGCATAGATTGTAAAATTACAAATAACTGAAAAAGAAAATTTTAGGAAATAAGCTTCTTGTCTTAATCATTAATATAAATATGCAGACTGAGAAGGTAAAACAAAAAAATATAAATGCTGGCAATACTATCATTATTGGATTGTATTTACCTCCAAGACTGTTCAAAAATATATCTGCTAAGAAATACTCTCAGAGTTACTGCCATTCACTCATAGTTAACACTTCAAGGACAGTTAGTTTAGAAACAGTACTTTGAAGTCTATCATCTGGTCGCAGCTTTAGGAGACATAATTTTGTTAGGTTCAAGTCCTCTTAAAATAGATACAAACCTCAGATAATTTTCCAGATTTAATTTGACTCTACAATGATAGTCATAGAAAGAAATCCTAGTGAGGATTAGAAATGCATGTAGGTTCCAGTTGATGAAATCTACAGAGGAGCCTAGAATCCAGAATGACTAACAAAATTGTTACACCAGAATTTGTTCTTTTCACACCCTGCTAACTAATTAGAACCTATCAAGTCATGCTGACTGCATGAGTGCCAGAGGAGAACTTCTCCCGAGCATTTCCAGGCACTGAGTTTTCTGGAAGTGGATCACAGGGCCTTTCTCTTGAGGTGCCTATAGGTGGTCTCAAGCCACCAAACAGCCAAGCACATTAACCATAGCACAGTATTTGTATACTCTGCTATGCACCTGGAAACAGACTGGTAGATATATTAGGGGGTTTTGTGTATTTTACTGGGAATTTGTTTGTATAAAGCATTATTCTTTTTCAATAAAAGTTTTTTAGTAAAAAAAAACACACACACACAACTTATTGGCTTGTTTTTATAGTAATTTATTGCAAGATTGCCCTGCTTCGAATAGGAGGCGGCTCACGATAGGATCTGACTCACTATGAGCTTCCTGGGAAAGAGCTGATGTTGCCTCCAGGTCAGTCCAACCAATATTTGAAGGGCTCCACCCACTGGGATGCCCTATTTCTCTCCAACTGAGCTCCTCATCAAGGTTTGAAGGTTTGTAATATGTGTAGAGAAGTTACTTTTCTCATTCATAAAAAGTGAACATGATACTATGAACACCAATTATTAAAGAGGGCAAGAAATACTATAATTGACAAAGTTTCTGTGCAAATAAAGAATGGCCGTGCTCCTTCCCGGGAGGAAACATGCCAGAGCAGGTTAGAGCTCCACCATTGTCTGTGTAATGTTTACAATCAACACTAGCTCTTAGGAAAACAAGAGATGATTACATTTTGTTCTCATTTTCTGGCATCAGTAATTGTTACCAGAATTATCTTTACTGCAATTGTCCTTAAGGGTAGCCTCTCCCTGAAAAACTTTCATATTAAAGAGCCAAAATTGTAAACAAGGGATTGTAATTCTGATAATGAAGTTGCAGGCCTTAGCCTGATGGATAAGAGGATTATGGAAATTCCTGAGCTGCAGTCCCAAAGGCACCTGGTTCAAATCTACCAGTTGCACCATGTGAGGAGGATGGGCAATCTCCTGAGAGGTTTATTGTCTCTGTAAACACACTGAAGGATCAGGTTGGGTCAGTTCCAGCTCAAAGGTACACTACAGTACCAACAACTCTTCCTACAAAGTTTAGATTACCATTGATAGGGCCCAAACCTAAGAATTGTTAAAAAAAACAACAACAAAAAAAAAACATTGCCCTGGAGTTGATTTTGACTCTCTAACTCCATACAACAGGACAGAGTAGAATTTCCAAGACAGTAATTGCTCTTTACAGAAGATACCTTTCATCCACAGAAAAGTCAGAGGATTCTAATTCTTCACTTTTTAATTAGCTGACAAGTGCTTAACCCTTGCGTCACCAGGGTTACTTTTCATGAAATGTTAAAGGAACATAATTCTCATGTTTCTAAAAAGAGATCCCAAATGAAACACTTGATTTCAGATCAGCAAAGTGGATATTCATTTTTGTGTGAGCTCCTCCTCAAATGGATGTCATTGTTCTACAGATCCACTCCTTTTCCTCTTCATTTAGGACTTAACATTCTTTGTGGGTATATACTCATGTTCAAGGCAGATTCCATATCACTCATTTTCCTTCACACATTCAAGCTTATCAGTCTTAGTGTTGACTAAGACCTGTTTATGAATGTTTTCCTTTTTTTTTCCCCTATGGGATTCAGATGTAAAATTTCTGTCTGCTCCACCCCATCCCACACATATACTACGGACTCCTAAAAACGGCCCTTGTTGTGTACCGTTGAGTCAGGACCGACCCATAACTGACCCTCCAGCTGGTTTTCAGAGGCAGTTAGTCACATGGGAGGAGATTATGCATCCTTCTCCCACGGAGCAGCTTGTGGATTTGAACTGTGTGCTTTAAGGACTGCAGCACAGCTTCTTGCCATTAGGACACCAGAGCTCCCTATGTCTCCATAATTAGCATGAAATATAAAAAGTCTGGTAGATGCCATTGCAGATTGTACAAAAAAGAGACAACCAGAAACTTCCTCAAAGCTCTCACCTCTGCAAATCTTACAGCATTTTACACACTGTTCCATTCATTGTGTTTGCCAACATGACAATCGAAAAACATATATTGATTTATCTCATTAATATTTACTGAGTACACACCACAAGGTTAGGTTTCTTAAACAAAAGCAAGCTAAAGGAATTGTCTTGGATCCAAGCAGTTTGAAAAATGTCAAGTGGAGAAACCAAACGTTCTATCAAGTAAAAGGTCTCAGTGATTAGTCATGAGAACTTTGGCAACCTTGAGACCCCCTTTTATTAATGTATAAAATGGACCAGTTTTCTTATTCTTAGCCACATGTCAGGAACACTTTTAAATCAATGTATAGCAGGGTTCTACTGGAGATTGGGGAAATTAGAATCTCTCTCTGCCTGAGAGTTCCAAATTTGAATATTTAGTGGGATTCCAGTGCTCATTTCAGTTGATAAACCTATTAGCTAACTGTTTCTCATTTTTTTTTTATTTAAAAAGGAAAGCATTTGGGTGATTTTTATTTAATAAAATATTTGTTTGCTGTTAGGAGAGATAAAAGAAGAGCGAGAAAGAGAGAGTGGGGTGGGGTAGAGGGGAGAGACATTCCTCATTAAGT